AATGCGAAGTCAAACAAAGTGGATAATCGGACGTCACGCTGGATCAGACCTACAATATAGTTACTTTAGGGCTACTAGCCCATGGGTAACCTCCCTATGTGCGCACTAGACCATATAGAGGGACTATCCCCCGTACTAGAACCACGTCCTAGCCATAGTCAAATAACGACATCCCTAAGTTTTCAAAATCAACAAGTTGTGCAACAACGCATATATCAACAGGAATATGCAAGATAATCAACTATCTACCAAGCACAACCAAATTTGGAAACCTATACAATACATGCTCTAAATCCACAACTAATATGATATGATGAATGTCGAATCTTCAGTGTGCGATTCATTACACGCTATGCATGAAAGATGTTAAATACGAAGTGTGTAAATCATTACACAAGGCAACAATATATTCAATAAGGAAAACATATTCTCATGAGTATAAACATAGCAACTATGTTATCCAATGCTCAAAACATAACCAAATGAATATATAACAAGTCCATGTCCAGGATTTTGATATAAAAACGACTTTCAAACACAATTAAATTCATGGCTCAATTCGATAGAATTTAATAAAATAAAAATAATTAAATTCCCTAGATTCTAATTCAATTCCAAATAACCTCAAATTAATACATATTAAAGAACATGGCATGGTCATCACCTATATCCATTCTAAAACTCAATTAGGTTATTGGAACAACAAAGTAGAACTCTAATTAAATCATGCTAATTTAATTACCAAGATTCTAAAACAACTTCAAATGGTCCACAATTAATATATATTTGTAAACAAGTCATGGCCAATACAAATATCAAGTTAAAATCTTAATTAAGCTAATGGGACCACAAAATAGATTTTAATTAATTATTTTAATTAAAATCTCTAGATTTTTAAACTTAACCAAATGCTCTCGATTTAACATATCTTAGAGAACATGCCAAGGACTAGTGTAATATCATATTACAAGCTTATTTCATGGAAGTTACATCTATGTAAATTAAACTTTCACTAAAGTTAAATATAAAATAAAGGTTGCAATTCTCCTGCAATTAATCCCAATTTAATACATGTGAACAACCACACCAAAGCTTAATTTTCTAGCATGCCACAATACAATTCCAAGTTGTATATCACCATGAGGATTAAATCATAAATAAGGAAATTAATTAAATGAAAGGTTTCAAAACCTCACCGAATATTCTAAATCAAATATATGTGAAGCTATATGGCAAGTAGATCAAGAATATCAAGTCGGAATTCAAATGGAATGAATAATGCACTCAGGGTAAATTAATTAATCAAATTAATTAATAATTACTAATTTTCAAAACACCTCCAATTACTTTCAAATTCAACTATGTTGAAGAGCATGCTAAGGCCTAATATAATATGCTAACACATATTAATTTCAAGCTAGTTAAGGCCATGTGAATTAATTTTTCATCTAAGATAAATATTAAATAAAATCTTTGATACTTATTCAAATGTTCCAATTTTAATACACGACAATGAGCATATCAAGGGGCAATATAAAATCATGCTACATGTTTAAACCAAGTCATGAGTAACCGGGAAAATTAGACCCGGTACAAGAAAAATAAATAATAAAATCTCTAGATTTTATATTTAATCATGCAAATAAGTAGTATAAGCATCACAAGCACGCTATATAACAAGAATTTAAACCTAGAATATCTCCTACCTCAATTTGAGATGAAAATCTCAAAAGCCATCAAAATGGAACGGCTCCGAATCCGACGAAACTACTAGGTTTTGTCGGGGACAACGCCGTGAACATAACCCCTATCAAAGCCCCATCAAAATCATAACTTGACCTCAAAACCAAACTCAAGAAATGGTCAAAACTGAATTCTAATAAGGGGGAAAGGTAGAGCACGGCGAGGGGAACAACAAACGTTAAGGCCGTAGACTTTCCATTAAGGAAAAGTGAACCAAAAGAGGAGAGAGAAGATGGCAGCACCCCTTGGGCTGCCATGGGAGCTCCAGGTCGTGCATGAAGAGGGGAGAAGATGAAAAATGAAATATCTTACCCCCCCTTTTATAGAAATCTCAAAAAGTGCCCCGAACGGGCCCCGCCGGGTTCGAAAAATTAAAATTTGAGCGAACGCACTCAAATGGCAGAACTTTGTGAACAAAAAAGATTCAAAATGATAAAATATAAACAACAGAAGAAACGGCGTCAAAAACTGAGTCCCGAACACAAAGTTATGCCCAAAACAAGTTTGGCGCAAACCGGGGCCAGTAACCCTGAAACTGGAAAACATCGACCAGGAGGAAATTCCAAGAGTACACAACTCAACGAAATATGAAAATGAATCCTGTACGAGGATTCAGTCTCAAAACAAGACATTTTGTAATAACTTTCATTAATTGCACAATGGCCCCTATAAAAAGGGTTAACTGCGAAACTGCCCCAGAATGAAAATACTTCCAAAAGATATTTTCTTAGATGCCCCTGAAATAAAATATCTTCAAAAGATATTTACGAAAAACACCCCAAGAAATGAAAATGATTCTAAAGAATTGTGCATCCATGCCCCTGTGGGCACCGGGAGCAACCAGAGTATTTTCTTACAAAAGTAAAGATACGTATTTCGAGGAAACCACTCAAGATGAAGGCACGTGAAGTCAAAAACCAACTCCGAGCATGAGAAGTGAGGTTGTGCCAAAAACTGACAAACGGAGATAAGACAGAATAGGGAAAAGGACGAAATAGCGCATAGTGTCGAAAAACGAAAAATGTGAAAATGACTCGGTCCTCAAAGGAAGTTGTCAATTCACGGAAAAGAGTCTCAGGAACCAATTCCGAGCACTCGAGATGACACTAAGCGACACGAACAGAGCTCAGAAAAGAAAATTAAACGATAAAAATTCATTCGTAAAATTTCAGGAAAAAGGAAAGGAAGGCAAATGACCGGGTCATTACAGTATAGCAGAAGAGAAGATCGGCGAGATTTAGAGTTAAGCCCCTAAACCTATTCAGGGCAAGAAGAAAAGAAAGAATATGAAAAAAGTTAGGGTTAACTTGAAGGGGAGCGAAATTCAATACCGACAGGACCCGAAGGTAGAAAGGGTTAAGGGGAAATCGAAAAACAGGAAAATGTAAAGCTGAAAAAAGCGTCTCGCCTTCCTCCAAACCTTCACCGATGCTACAATTCAGATTGTGATCATATGCCTCAAGGGTAACATTTGAAGGGACACGATTCTTCTTTCTCAACTGTGCAATAGAGAAATATTTCCTCTCTACAATGTCAGGAGGAAATACAATTGGCCCCTCAACTTCACCACTTGAACTCACCACCAGCGTCACTGACTCAGAGTCAGATGCACTGTGAGTTCGTTCACTACTCATTTGACTCATAATGACAGAAATAGAATGAGAAAAGTGACTAACCTTAGCAAACGAGAAGAAGGTTATGTAGCGGCGAAAAAAACTCTTTCTTAAAATCAAGAACGAAACTGCAGAGGAAAATACCAAAGTAACAAAGTCACACACATATATGGATAGGATGAAGCAGATAACGAAGAGGCAAACACGAGACCCCAAAAAACAGGGGCACAAATAGTAATGATAGGCAGTAACAGTCGCAAAAACTTCTCCACTTCCCAAAAGCAGTTACAATTCCATATATGAATCGAATTCATAAAAGGAATCGGGGGCAAAGTGTGGAGGGAAAATCTCCACCAATCACAATACACCACGTGGCAGCAAAAGAGCAGCCCACTAACACCCAGAAGCCTATCATCAATCGAAGGCCCAACAACAAAAAAACATACACACGTGTCAACTTGGACCGATTAGACAAAAGAAGCTCTGCTTGGCATGAAAGCCCATGGATAGCCGAATCTCGGTAAGCCCATAAGACCATAACGCTTGGCATAAAAGAAACATGCACACGATCAGTAAGCATAAATACCCACGTCTAGGAATAAAGCCAAAAAACGGCTCCATGTAATTATCTAAACAGAGCCTATAAATAGAGCATGAATGAGAATGAAAAGAAATCGAATTCCCAATATTGCTACTCTCTTTGAAAATTATTTATCTCCTTGTTTAGTTCTTGTGCATCTTCCCTGATTTTAAGTACTTGGGTGTGAGAAATTGCACCTACATTGTCAGGGCTAGGTTTCATCCATGGTGTCAAATCCTCCTTCTAGGTGGTCATCTGTTATTTTTCTCTGGTGCTTCCTCTATCATTTTTCTTGCTCTAGGATCATTTCCTTAATCAATTTGGGGTTTGGGAGAGTTGTCTTATTGGTCTCAATCTCTAAAGTGATATAATTGAGGTTTGGATGAAAAAGAAAAAAAGAAAAATTAAGTGGGCAGAGAGGGCGTAGAGAGAAATTAATATAAATGTAGTCAAAGAAACTCAAGAGGTGTTGTCGGCGGCGGTGGCAGCAACATTGTGACTAGGTGCCTCAGATGAAAGGGTAATGTTGGACTTTAAAATTTTGTTAGGAAAGGATTAATTGGTCTATAAGCACTATTGAAATGTGCCTTGTGACAGTGGTTCTGTTGATGACAGATCTACGATCTCAAAATCATCCCTTGAAAGCCGTCTGTAATAGGCACACGGGGGCAATGTCTAATAAAAGCTGTAATCAGAAAGAAGTTATGTGGCAGCCGACTTTGAGCGTTGAGTACTCTCTATTGTAATTTGTTTCTCTCAAGAATAATACGCTTCTACAAATAAAATAAAATAAATTTTGTTATACATTTTTAATTTGTAAAAAAAAAATATCAAAAACAATTCATTAAAAATTGATCAAATAAGGTTAAAACATTTAGTCAATAGGAATAGGGAAACAAATTGGTCAATGATTTATATCATATGGAACCAAAAGTGAAGCACTACACTTCCAATCAACGTGGACCAAACCACTAACACGTCCTCTTCCCCAACAATACAAATACTTAGTCACCTCTATCCATTAATGTCATCAATATATATATTTCCAAATAATGATACATGGACCCCATTCCCATTTCCCCTCCCCCTTCACACCTCCTTAATTAATCTACACTTTCTCTATATAAGCACCCCTACATCTCCTCTCTCTCTCTCTAAAAGTAGATATATTTTGTTGGAAATTCTTCTGCATGATGGAGACCCAAAACAAGTCTAGCAATGGGGTGAGAGGTGAAGAAGTGAAGGTGGCTAATAAAAGGAGTGTGAATTGTTCGGAATTTGTGTTGAGGCTTTTGGCCTTTGCATTCACTCTCGTGGCGGCAATTGTTCTTGGGGTTGATAAGCAGACCAAGGTTGTGCCCATACAGGTGGTTCCGACCTTGCCACCTTTAAGTGTTCCGGTCACTGCTAAGTGGAAGTATTTGTCTGCCTTTGTGTGAGTTCTCTCTCTCTCTCTCTATATATATATTTATACATGTCAAACTAATGGTATATATGGGAGAATGTTTTGTGAGTGTGACATTCACAAGGCCCCAAGTTTTTCAGTTCCGATTTCAAACCGTCCATCACCAAGTGTGGATCCTCTACTATAGCGTTCTCTATTGTGTGCTTTATAATTTTCATCGCAATTAAATCGTGTTTCAATATTATAAAGAATGGGTTTAACCACAGATTTAATTATATTGAAATCTTTTTTCAATACCATTATTTCTAATTTTAGTACCATTCATTACTTTGCATGAGCTTCAGAAGTACTTGTGTTGAAGATATGGGTGTTAAAACGCCTTTTAGATAAGATTTAATTGTTTTGAAATCACTACAGCATACTACAATAAATAAAAACATTTTCATGATATTTAGCAGTACTTTTTTCATTTCCTATTGATATGACTTAAATTCGAACCTATCGAAAAACATTACTTAGTCAACATATTGGTGTAGAACAATTAATTAGGAAAAAGAAAATCCCATCTCTTTTAACCTTGTGCTTTTTTCCTTTTCTTTTTTCTTTATTTTTTATCCTAGCAACATTTTTATTGATTTTCACATCCTTAGATGCTATATGATTAAAAGGCCCTCTTAAACCCATAAATATGTTATAGCATGTAATTAAATAAGTTATAGCCTAGTATTATCTTCTATACTTATTAATAATGAGCCGAGTCACATTAAATTGAGTGGGCTGAAATTTTATCTTATTTATATTTTTATACTCAAATTTTGGTATATTTATAAATATGCTCACACTGAACTCTTTAAGAAATTCAAAGAAGACCTTTATAGAAACTTCTAAAAATCAAAAAGACCTCTTATTTTTTCAACAAAATTTTCAAAATTCATATATATATATATATATATATCATTTCTCTTCTAACGTGTCTTACAAACTGAATTTCTACTTTGAAAGTTTAGAAGGTACCACTATGATAATAAATAATAATAATAAATAAATATTAAAAGTAAATAAAACCTGAATAAACGGCTGAGATTTAATGTGCACATATTTTTTGAGGGCAACCTATCAGTGAAGTCCACCTACCTCTAAGTTATATTTTTTATGACTCCAATAACGACATCTACAGCTGTACACAACTGCATATTCTATTATCCACAACAATGCTACAGTTAGCATTTATGAGAAATGAAAACAACTCTATATTATATTATTTATTTATTAATTATTTTTAAAGTTTTTTTGGGCCTATTTGACCCTAAAATCTGCCTAGATTTTTGCCATTTTTACTATGGTGATACCTTGTTCTTATTGTTCAAGCAAAAAAATAACTAATGAATCCATTATTTATTTAACTGTTATCAGATTAAATATTTTAATTATTGGCACAAATTTGAATTAGGATCAACATGAAATTCATTGATATGTATGTCTTAGAAAAATACAAAAAACATTATTTAAGAGATTATTGCTTGGTATGTAACTCTGAAAATAGTTCTAAAAAGTTCAGATAATAGAAAACTGTTATCAGAGAACATCTTTTATAGTTTTATAACTGAATCTTCGTTAAACAATTTTCTGAAAACTAAACCAAACAGAAATTTTTGTACTATTTTCTGTTTTCTAAAAATAGAAAACTATTTTTATAATTACAAACTAAGGAGGCCCTAAGGTATCATTCATTTTTTCTTCTTTGATCAACATAATTCTTCCTTTGGTAGTACTATGTGTGTGTGTGTGTGTGTATATATATATATATATAGGGGTGACAAAAATTCCCACCCCGGCGGGGCCGTCGCGTTTGGGGAGTTTTGGGGAACCAATTATATAGATGGGCAGGAATGGGGGCTGTTTTGAAAAACCCGACTGGTTTTGGAACGGTTACGGAATTGAAAAAATTAAACAGGATGGGAATGGAGAATGAGATCCCCGCTCCAAAACGCCCACATTGCCATCTTGATATATATATATATATATAGTAGTCTAGTTATATGGTATAAGTATATGTTGTATAAATCTTTGTTGTAGTAACATTGTAATTAGAAGGGTGTGGTGACTAGTGTAAAAGAACAGGGTTAGGATGGAGTCTCCACATGGTGTTTGGCAGAAGAGGTTTGCATTGATTCCACATGGTGTTTGGTAGGTGATGCTAAAGATTTAAAACCATGATTGAACCATGATTGTGATCTCTCTGGTACCCCACCCCCACCCCTTCCCAACTTCCTCTTTAATTTGCCCTACCTTGTAGTTGAACGTATGTATTAAAAGGGGTAGGGCAAATCACATGACTTCAAAGGGGAAGGTTGACTTACTTCCTTTAGCACTGCAATTTGGTCAACTGAGGGCCTAAAAGGGTTCAGCCAAGTTTATATGTATATATATTTATATATATTGACAAGAAATGCATACAATTATTATGATTGTAATTTTGGTTGGGCAATCCGAGTCTAGCCCGATTTTTTGTTGGTTTGGACGATTATTTTATAATTAGGGTTAGATTTTGATTGAAAAATCTCAATCCGAATTAAATTAGGGTTGAACTTGAGTTGAGTTGCTAGTAACCCGAACAAACTCAAACCCGAACCCAAATTCTAATATTATTTATATATATATTTTTAAATTTAAATACATTATATATAATATATAAATTATGATTACCTTAACTTCATTTGTTAAATTGTATGTTAGCGAGAATTAATTTTTTAAGAATTTATTTGTAATTTATTAAAAATTTATAAAATGTCCTTAAACATTTTTTTTTTTTTTTTTTTTTGTTAAAGAAAAATTTAATCTAAAACTAATTTTAAATCATATTAAATTTTCGGTGTGAAGATTAATTATATGAATAATCCGAATTTTTAATTCAGAATTTAAGCCCGAAGTTAAAAGTAGAAGGATGGGATGGGATCGGGTTGAAGATAAAATTAGGGTTGGACATGAGTTTAATATTTCATATAGTGGGTTATGTTCAAGTTATATCTTAAACCCGTCCAACTCATCCGAATTAAAGCCCTAACAATTACATAGAGTTGAACGGTTGATCAGTCTATTTTGAAATACAAGAAAATACCATTAACTACAATTTTTTGGTTAAGACTTTTACTATTATTATTTTTTAATTTATTTATATTTTTAACAAGAAACTCACATGCCCACGTTTCCTTACATATACTTAAACACTATACTTTTTTTTTTTTTCGAAAATGAAGAAGTATCCATGCATGATGAGATTGACATCTAATAGTTAATGAAAAAGTATCAATGCATGATGAAATTGACATCTAAGTAACTATTATCCTAATCTGTTGGTTGAATTCAATTCAATTCACCACATTTTATTTTTTCTCGAAGGTTCAGATAAAAGCACACCCTCGTGATACGAGTAGTGTTACACTAGAGGGATCCCCATTTCCTAATCTTACGGCTAGACCTGCATTATTCATTAACCATAGTTATCAGAAATTAAGTGTCACTCTTCCAGCCTTTTTGTGTCTAAAACTCATGGCTAGTTTCAAATCCACTTGGATTGACTGATGTGTGACCGAGAGCCAATCAAATTAATTTTGGGTTGAGTATGATTTAACATAAACCCAACCTGGTAAACTATAAAACACTGGTCCAATATTAGTGACACGTGTCCAATTTTCCCTAGCTTATTTCTTTAATTGAAAAATTAGCGGAAAGAACGGAATGGGTTAATTGATATCTAACCCAATTCAACCAAATTGATTTTGGGTGAGATAGCGTCCCAAAACCATTTTTATATTGATTGTGACGAATCTTAGGTCCTGAGAATATATTTAATTTTGATTTCTGACTATTGATATGAATCAATAACATATGAACACGTTCTTTTTAATTATCAAATCAGAAATGACTAATACATACTCACTTATCAAATCATAAATGATGTGTTAATTAAAATAGGATGTATTTGTTATTGGTTCATATCAATAATAATGTCCTATTGAAAAATAGTGTGTTATTGGAAAACAACAAAAAAGGCTTTATAGAAACTAATTTTGTGAACCTCTTTGTATAGGTACTTGGTGGTGACAAATGCCATAACATGCTCATATGCAGCCCTCTCTTTGGTCCTCACATTGTCCACAATGGGTAAAAAGAAGGGGTTTTCTCTGGCGCTCATCATCCTTGATCTAGTGATGTTGGCACTGCTCTTTTCTAGCATCGGAGCTGCCACCGCGGTCGGTTTCATTGGCTACGAAGGCAACTCGCACGTGCGTTGGAACAAAGTATGCAACGTCTTCGATAAGTTCTGTCACCAAGTGGCTGCTTCCCTAGCCATGTCTCTGCTTGGAGCATTTGCGTATCTCTTGCTGATTGTGCTTGCTGCCATGAAACTTCACAAGAAATACGAGTAGAATGTGATGAAGTAACTTTGATCTCTCTTGAGCATGTTAATTTGGTTTTCATTTGTGGCCAAGTGATGTTGTTGTTTAGTGAGTGTGGACTAAATGCAGAATGTATGATAGATTTCTCTTTGTGCTGTTGTTTCCTTCTTCTGTGATCTTTTGCATAATTGTAAAATGTTCCTCTTAATAATAAGAAATAATCATTAACCTTTGATAGGAGTACTACAATATCAACACCCAATTAGACATTGTTGTCGCCTAAAGTTTTACTAACAATACTAAGGTTGTGTTCGACTGTATAGAATTGAAATTTTGAAATTAAAATTAGTGGAATTGCAAAAAAATAACTCACAAAATTGAATTAAAAGTTTTTCCAATTCTAATTTAAAGACTCTAATTATATGCAACCGAACACGACCTAACAATAATATATTATTGGACAACATGGGACAGAATGTGTTCCAAGTCTAATCTAAATTGGATCCAAGTTTCAATCACATCCAAATTGAGTGACAAAGAAGGGTTGTCTAAACCCATCCAAAACTCGAATTAGGTTTGGATTAGTCGACGTTTCCTACTTGCTTTATACATCTTTATGAATATTTGATTCGTTGCTTATCATTTGACATTGTGCTCCAGACGTGGAGAATTTCAAAGTCTACTTAACATCATCTATAGTATATATTATTGTATCATCATATTTGATCTATGGTAAGTATATATATATCTATTTTGTTTTGTTTTTTGTGCAAAGAAAAACATGTATATTTTTTTTGACTAAAATGATATGACCACAAAGTTGTGTGTGTGAAAGTATACACAAATACATACGACTGCCATACTTGTATTTGTTTTGCTGACATAAGAATTTTGAGGAAGTGGGCAGCCACTACTACTAGTATAAACACAAAACTTAACCGTTTAGAATTTTGACCAAAAAAATGGGGCTCATCGACAGACGCGAAGGCTGAAGATAGGCCAAAGTCAAAGTACAAATTCCTCTAAAATGCGTCATGTACATGAGTTGGATCCACTGCATCTGTGCGTGAATTAGTCCGTGTGAATCAAATCTATGATCAATAGGTTGGGGCACTTTAAGCTACACCTCACTAACATTGTAGTCAGATACTTGGATCAAGAGTGTTTTGAATTAATAAAATAGTTTTTATCTTTTTATTGTTGGGATTTATATGCTCTGACATAGTAAATTTCTATTTGAATTATAATGATATATGTTTCTAACGTTTTTAATAATATATATGCTTTATACAATTGATGAATTCAATGTATTATGTTTCGATTTATTATAAAATTGATAGTATCAATTTGATTACAAGAAATATTTATTTATGTATGTAACGACGATCAATACATGAATATAAATAGTAATCATAAATTATTCATAGTCGGTAATTATGGATGGACTCATAATTAATTAAGACTTGAACTGAATCCGCATTAGGTTGAAATATATTGCGAAAGCTATCGTATGCAATTACTCCCTATCACCGTCATGACATTTTACTCTTAAGCATGAGAAAATTATAAACTCTTTTATTAATTAACAATTATTTTGATTTGTTCGGCGGATTCTTCGGGATCCTTAGACCGACACTTTAAGTAGTTATGTAATTAATAGTTAGAGAGTTATATTTTCAATATTTGCATCATTGCTACTTGTATTTATTTTGTATTGATTATGGTTGATCACAAAGTAAATTCGAATGCCTTCGTATGTTTTTAGATAAAATGTTTATTATATATTTATTTATTTAAATTATTATTTTTTTGTCGAAATAAATGTTTTATTGTGATCGAGCCAAATATAATCAATGGTATCAAAATAAATATATTAATTAAGTTGTCGGATTGATGGCTTTATTTATCCGATAACTAATTATGCATAAAGGGGTCAAAGTGCAACATTGACTAAGAGGTTATTTATTATTTAATTGGAGTTCAATTAATTTCTTTTAGTGGAGTAAAATTAATTTATGAATTAATTGAATTGGGTTTATAGACCGGGCCAATTATTAATTCATTGTAACTAATAAAAATAATAAGCACAAATGATTCTCACTCATAGCCCAACTTAATATTGGAATCATATTAGATTTGAATTAGAGATTGAGAATGATTTATTGTTTCCTTTTCCTTATCTTTATGTTGCCTATATATATACATGGTCTATGTATATTTTAGGGGTGATTTTTAATAGAAGGAAAAAATGAATATATTTTCTCTCTCTTATAAATTAGGGTTAATGTTCTCATCTAATGGAGGCTCCCACAAGCCTAATTTTCCAAGGTCATTCATGGAGGCTTATTAGTGATTGCTAAAGACAAAACAAGTACTAAGAAGATGAAGATCCAAGGAGAAGGCATCTTGCTAAGAGATCTACAATAAGTGAGAATATTCACTTTAGAGGAAAGATTTAAAAGTTTACTCAGACCTTTGATGTAAGTATTCAATCTATTAATTGAATGACACATCATATTTTATTTTTGCATAAAACTTGTCTCTTTGTGATGAATCAAAATCTATGAATCAAAATCCCTTAAAAAGTTTTTAAAACTTGCACGTTTTCCAACATTTATATCACCAAAATTAACAAAATATGAATTGTTTTCTTTTCGAAACTAAAAGACTAATACAAAACTAATGGGAGTGACCCAGAGGTATCAAATCCTTATTTTTTAGAGGGATGCCAGAAGTTAAAGCCTGAGTAAAAACATGAGTGTAATTAATAACTAAAAAAATATAAAATACCAAATATAATATATTATACCAGTATTAACCATCAATAGTACTACTCTTCAGGTACCATTAGACTAGAGCTTGAATTATATTATTATTTCACTTTGGATGACCCAAAAAAAAAAAAAAAAAAAACATAATAAGTTAGGTTAATTTCATTTACCTCACCTGAGGTTTATCAATATCTTAAATAGTCCCCCTCCACCTTTTGTAATCTCACTTACCTCTCCTAATATAATAGTTTATGTATCAGATTTTCCCGTCTAATCCATTTTGCCCTTCTAATGTTTGAAATGATTAGGGATGGCAATTTGTTGTCCCGTGGGGGCGGGTACCGGCCCATTCCAGCCGTTTAAATTGATTTCGGGGGAATCGTTCAAGGGATTTGGGTGGGGATGGATTTTATGGGGAAAAACTCGCACGATTTCGATGAAAGGGAGGGAGAGGGTCCCCCACCCCACCCCACCCCATTTAGGATTAATGTGTATTGTTTATTTTTTTCTGGAAATTAAATTAATGTGTAATGTTGTCATTATTACAATATTTTTAATTTGAATTTTATGTTAAACTACTATTGATAATGTTTTTTGAGGGGTTGTATTATTGCATACTTGTAGTCTTGTATAATTTTGTTTGGGGAGGAAAAAAAATAAAGGAAACATTTAAAGTAAACGGGCCGGGGCGAGTGCCCACGGGTGCAAAAATATAAACGAGGGCAGGGACGAGGTGACAGGGCGCCCCGCTTAGACAATTTTGAGCGGGGCAGGTTTAGGTATTTCAAACTGGGTTAAGTTGGGGTACACCTACCCAGAACCGCCCATGTTGACATCTCTATAAATGACAGTACGGACAAAATGGTAAAAAAAAGTCACCAACAAGGTAGGTAAGTAAAATTATGAAATATAGAGAGGTCTGTGTAGGATATTGACAAACTTCAAAAGAGGTAAATAAAAGTAACCCGAAAATGCTTCATACTTGTAAAAGACAAAAAGATCATTAAATAAAACAAAAATTATAAATAACCATCAAATAAGGGTTAATCTTTTTAGTCCATAGGAAAACAAATTGGTCAATCACATCCCAATTCCCAAAGGTCCACGCCAAGTGTGATCCAAACGTAAAGTACAACATTTCCATCAACGACCAAACACGAACTCACCTCCATGCATTAATGTGATCAATATTCCCATTCACACTTCCTCCCTTCCGATTTCTCTCTCTATATAAGCACCCCAACCTCTCCTAATTCTCTCTCTATATAAAGAACAAAATATATTAACTAGATTTTGTTGGAAAGATACATTGTTTTGCATGATGGAGAGCCAAAACATGTCTAGCAATGGGGTGAGATCAGAGGGTGGTAATAAAAGGAGTTTGAATTGTTGTGAGTTTGTGTTGAGGTTTTTGGCCTTTGCATTCACTCTGGTGGCTGCAATTGTTCTTGGGGTTGATAAACAGACCAAGGTTGTGCCACCGTCAAATGTTACGGTCATAAGTTCTCTCTCTCAATATATATACATATTACATATATATAAATATATCACGCATAACGTGCTCTAGAAATAGAGGATCCCTACGGTGCTCAAGAAATTACTTGTAACCCTCTTCAAAGTTTTTAGTCCTTAATAAAAAATTGTATATGGTAATTCTTTCTACAAGATACTCTCTCTCTCTCTCTCTCTCTCTATATATATATATATATATATATATATATTGTTTTTTATGGTTTAAAAAGAGAAAAAAATTAATGTTAGACAATTGATAAATTCATTTATTGGCAGTTAACCAGTCTTTTCTCCATTTATTTTTCTCATATTATATCTAGATGCAGATGGTTCTTAAAAATGTATATTAAAAATGCACCAAAACTAAAACCATTACAATTACTTTATTTTATTTTATTTTATTTTTAAATTTTAATACTATTAGATTACAACTTTTGTCATCCCCGTCCCTGCTGCCAACAGTGAGGACTATCAGCAAGTGGGCCATTAAGCCGATAGTCACCATTGACATGACATTAAACAATACTGAGAATCCCGATTCCTTAATTTTTTACTTGTTAAAAAAACACTCTAGCTAACATGGCGACTGAATCATTCAACTCCCTAATCTCCATTTATAAAAATCTAGCAGATCTACATTATTTGGTCATTACGAGCAAGGATACATCTTCTACAATAAAGCACTTATGTTGTAATACATAAGAGGAATCACAACTCTTGCATGTATGAAACCTTCCATGTACCGTAGATGTATCACTTATTAGTAAATAGTCATCTAATAACAACTTTCTCATCGACTTATTCTCACACATGTACATCCTAATTCACACGTGTGAAGACTGTGGACTCTTGGTATAATACTTGTATTGTATTATCCACTTAAAATAATCATCAAACAATAATGTTATATTTAAAAATAATAAATTGGTGTGTAAATTTGAAATGGAAGA